ATATACGATCATAATATTTTGCATATTTCAGAGAGAATTTATTCGGTAAAATTTTGAGAGGGAATAGACGAATAAATTTTAACGATTTACCATTATTACGATGACATTAAAATATTTACAAGATTTCAGATCATTCGCTTTACAGTTTCAAAGTCAGATTGCAAAATATTTTATTTTTAAAATAATTCTTTCCAAAATTCTGAATCTCTAGGGTAAAAATTCGACTCGGATTCACACACCATAAGTGCAGGAGTATCTTATTTTATAAAATTTAAAAAAACTTAGACCCGATTTATAGAAAGCGATGTTAAAGTTAATTCGCGATTAACTTTTAACTGAGGTCCGTTGCCAGGCAACGCACATATTTTAACCAATCACGGGCTCATATTCCACATTTTAATTCTCTGTTAAACTAATCGAGGATTAAATATTTAACTCGCTGTTCTATAAACCGGCCCTTAGTGTTATAAATTTTGAAGATGACGTTAAGTATCCTATTACTGGTGGGGACGATTAGCCAAATTTTAGTTAGAATTTAACCATCCACATGATATTCCTAATATACATACAAAATTTGACAACAATCGGACGGTAGTTTCGGAGATTACGTGTCTAATAAAATTAATACAGACGCCAGACAGTGAGACAGACAGACAGACAGATAGACAGAAACGGGAGACCACTCTAGAGATATTTTTACAATTTTTTTACAAATTTTTGAGCAACGGCTGAAATTCTGAAATATTGTTTCAAAAATGTTATTCAAGAATTTAATAAAATTGATTTATATTTATATTTTTAAATGCTGGCCTGTGTATGTATAAATAAATATTAATACTGAAAGTACAAGGGAAATTTGATGTCCTTGTGCATTTTTTCGCAGAATGTGGATATATGTATTTTAGGTTCTAGCAGAGTAATTTTTTTGTGAATTGTTCAAAAATATCAGCAACCACTGACACCGTCCATAGTATTTAAGATAACAAAATAAAAGGTCTAGTGATTTTCGTCATCTCCACTATAATGAAGTCAGGTTTCTGTCAAGTATATCTGTAATTAACAAAGAATTAACACTCTGAATAAATTCGTACTTAAAATATTTTGAAACCTCTAGATTAACTGTAAAAACTTAAAATTTTATGAATAAAAAAATCATAAACGAAGTGAAAAAAAGGACTCTGTCTTATACAAAAACATAGTGTGTTTTTATATATAAGGGGTTTTTTTAACAGGGGCGACTGGTGTCATTAAAAAAAATAAGTGCTACTAAAAGTGGAGACCAAATAATGCCTCATTTAGACGTTTTGTTTACACCGTTGCCATGGAAACCGTGCGTCTAGTTGCTGTATTCAGCTGGAATCGGGTCCTACTCGAACAGTGACCACTCAGTTGTGAGATTACATTTTCATTTTGCGCGAGTGAAATTATTTGATTTTAAATACAAATAATTAATTCAGTTGACTATTTACTAAAAAATCGTCCACTGTCTTACAACGGTGAAATTTTAGTGAAAAATTTAGGGAGAACCACCCCCAATTTATTAATAAAAAAAAGTGTTTATGGCAAATGGTAAATTTTTGTGGATGTGGGGTTGTGAAAAAAATAATAAACTGTCTTGTTTTGTTTGTCTTCTCAGTAATAATTTAAAACCAAAAGTATGTGGACAAGTACTTTTTTACTCTTATTGAATGTATTTTTATATTTATTTCCGTCACACAATTTGGTATATTAATTGGTAATAACAGCCTGTGTTATATCTTCATATTTACCTAATCAATCAAATTGTGTTCAAAAGTTCACGAACCGCCACTGCTTTTTATATTTATTTATGATTATAAAATATATAAAAAAATGGTCGAAATTTATTTCGACAGAATTTTCCTCGCGCCTGAAGTACAGTCCAACAAATCCCGCTTTTTTGAAAAATTATAAAATTTGATTTGTTTTGCAACAAAAATATAAAGTAAAAACCAGCGGCATAAATAACAGCACGCAGCCCATGCTTCGTGGGATACAGATACCTTCTCAGTAATAATAACATATTTAACTTCAAGTGTTTATGTTCATACTTCCAAAGAACTCGGCGATTAACACGGTCAGGTACAAAGCATCAGCAGACGCATGTAATTGTGTTAAAACAAAGGAGGATGCTATGGGAACTTTCAAGTGAGTTTTTTCATAACAACTAGTCACAGTGCATCACCAGTGCAAAAGAAAAAAAGAAAGGGCCAAACCTGGTATCGAATGTTCGACCGCAGGTCGGCGTGTCCGTAACTAAGCCTATATTCCACGCGAGTTTATATCCCGTGTGACTTTGTAAACTTTGTTACGCAAATCTGAACGTTTCGTATGAAAAAATCTCAAAGCGGATATGTGTAACACAAGTATACTAGTATATTACTGTATAATATTTAAATCATTTTAAACTAGAATCCTTTGAGATGACGTCATCAATGGGGATAATTAGCCAAATCTTGGTTAGCGTTTTACTATCTACTTGAAATTCTTACCATACTTACACAATTTGACAACAATCGGTTCAGTAGTTTGAGAGATTATCTATCTAATAAAAATTGACCGAGAGAGAGAGAGAGAGAGAGAGAGAGAGAGAGAGAGAGAGAGACGACAAACAGACGGAAATGGGAAACCACTTCTTTCGTACTCTAAGGGTCATGGAACGTGAAGTAAACAGGAAACTAGCAAGACGCTTGATGGACTCTACTACTATACTTCCTTAGCTTAAGCTCAGGAAGTAAAAGTAACGCCCATGGCATTAATATTTAAAAACCTGAAATGGAGAACGTCGATTTTGAATTTTTCTGGTTTTAGAAGTTTGAAATTCTTAATAAGATTAATTTATGTGGTTTCCTGGAATAAAGAGGAGCCAATGAGATTAATTATTATTAGTTGTTAAAAAATATCAGTTTGTAAAAAATCTGTATTAGTCATAAATAAAAGTATACAGGGTGTCCTCAATGTACATAATAACAATTTAAACTTGAAAGAAAGAAAATTATTTTTCACACCATTAAAATATAAAAAGAGCAAATAATACCTATAAAAATAATAAATATTTTTTATTTGCAATTTACATTAAAAAAAAGATTAAAAAATGAAAATAAATATATGTTTAGACATTTAATAAAAACACAAAACCACACAGACAAACTTCCAACTGTTTTACACAGAAGACTTATTTGTATGTATGTAGAAACTCAGCAAACTAACTAAACAACAATATATAGGGTTTCTATAAATGATTATAAGGTCGAAGTAGGTCATGGAAAGTGCCGCCTCTCACTTTTGAACTTTACTAAATGCCCAAGGACTCACGACAAATACTAATGCTTGATATCATCATAAAACTCATTCATTAAACAAATTTATTGCTATTACACATCATATTAAATGTTGAAAATGTTCACCATTTTATTCAAGGCACATGTCCAATTAAAAAATGTTCTATAACATCCTTTCGTCAATACTTGAGATCCATTGTCAATTTCATGTTGCAATATGAACTCCCGACTGATCAGAAAATCTTGTCAAAGATGTTTTCGGATTTTGTTCAAGTTATGATTTGAGGCGACTTCTCAGATACTGAAGGTCTTCCAGGAGATTTTCCTTTGTTGAAATCCATGGCCAACTACGCCCTTACAATTATTTATAAAGACCCTAAAAAAGTATCTATTTCCCACGCGAATGCATTTTCACGATCATTACTGTTATAATTTAAACCCGGAAGGAAATATACTCCTTACTCTAAAAAAAACAAAGAATAAAAATACTGCATGTTACAATGTTCAATTTTTTATTTTCATTGCTAAAAATTTAAGTTTTCCCCATTTGAAATGCTCGCTTAAATGAAGTCGAAAATAAATTCTCCAGATGAAAAGTAAACAAAAATCTCTTTAGAAAATTACTCAATTTTTTACTGCCACACGTTATCAAACTTTGGACTTCTTCATACCACATTCTGAAATTACCTAGAGAGACCTTGTTTTTTTGGTTTCGACTTACAGAAGTGGTTTTCGGCTTTATTTCATTGAATAATAATTTAACCATTTTTCCAGAATTACCAAAATAAAATATTTTAAACATTTGATTTTTAGAACGAATATTTCTAAAATCTTGCTTTAGAACTATCAACAGGCTATGTTTTTCAGATCAGCTTGTCGAAATCTAAGTCATAGATTTTTTCGTGGATTTTTAAACAACTTTGCCAGAAGCTGTAAAATTATTAATGAATTTTTTATGAAATTTTTTACAATTTTTTGAACACCAAAATTCCAAAATTACCGAAATAGGTTTTTTCGTTAATTTTGACTCACAGGTTAGAATAGTCGCAAAAATGACCCCCAAAATAACTTCTGCAAGTCGAAATCTTGAAAAAAAAAATTGTAGGTAATTTTCGAATGTGCTCCAAAAAATTCATTCCCCAAAATTCAAAATTTTGTTTGTCTGAAAGTTAAGCCGAAGTTTTGGAGCAATTTAATTTTTTCTCATGAAAATATTCTCATTTTTTAATGATTGTTCTTAGAGTCTGGATGTCAAGACCATACATTCTCTAACTGTTGCAGCAATCTTTTGTACAAAGCTTTTTTGTATAAAGATCGATTTAGCTTGATCTGACTTAACCTGGCCTGAGGTGACCTAACTTAACCTGATTTAACCTGATCTGTCCTGTTCTAACTCGACCAAAAATATAATAAATTTAAACTGTTTATATAAACAATTCTATTTTATAGTGGTAAAAATGACACATTCAAAGGCTGCAAAAAGAATGGATGACTTTCTTTCATACATGTTTTTAAATAGATCTAAACTCAGTATGGTAAATATATAGTAATAGTAATAGGTTTATTGTGCCTTAAGAAATGATACATTTCAGCAATGTCAAGACAGTATGTCATATCGACAATAAATATGCACGTGGTACAAAACATACATGTGTATATGGACAGCATAACATTTAGCAAATATAAAAGATAGAAGCAGCACCCACTTCACATTATTTATTAAATACTGATTTAATTGACCTTATATCAGTATCATAAAGTGGAGATTTTAACAGCAATGTTTTAATTTTTATTAGAAACTGGGGCATTGGTAGTGACGCAATATTATCGGGTAGGCAGTTGTAAAACTGAGGACCATAGTAATTGATGGAGTTTCTACTTTTATTTATTCTCCGAAAGTCAAGGCAAATATCATCACCCTGTCTGGTGTTATAACAATGGTGGTCGCGATTTTTCGTGTAGCTTTCAATGCGCGTTTTCACATTTACTAAGCATTGGTATACATAGAGCGATGGAACTGTCAAGATTCCATGTTCTACGTAATATTGCCTCACATCTTCTCTATAGTTCGCATTAGATATTATACGAATTGCTTTCCTCTGAAGTTTGAAAATTCTGGGAAGATGTGTTGTATGTCCCCAAGTCGCAAGAGCATACGCAAAATGGCTCTGGAATAGGCTGAAATATACTAATTTTTTAATGTTAAGTGACACTATACTACTGAGTTTACGTAATAGGTAAATTGTTTTTGCAAGTTTCTTGCTTAAGACATCAACATGAGCTTCCCAGCAGAGAGTTGTATCCAACGTTATGCCTAGAAATTTAGTGTGGTTAGGATTGTCTATGCCAATATATCGCGTGGAAAATATCATTGTAGATGTTTTGTCTTTGTTCAAATATAGGCCATTGCGATGAAACCAGTTCTGAGCATTTGATTGTGCAGCGGCCAGCTTTCCAGTCACAGTCGCTAATCTATGGTTAGCTGTGCTTAGGGTGGTATCATCAGCATATAATATTAGATTAACATCATCAACTGCTGCTGGTAGATTGTTGATATAAACTATAAACAGTAGGGGTCCCAAAATGGACCCTTGTGGAACGCCATACGTCGTTATTTGGCACTGTGACAAATGAGAATTATATAATGTGGTTTGACAGCGTTTGGATAGATAGTTTGATAAGAGCGTTACAGATGAATTTGCTATACCTATATTTCTTAGTTTTGAGACAAGTAAACTATGATCAACACAATCAAACGCCTTGGAGAGATCACAAAATGTAATACCGACATATTCCTTATTTTCGAAACCGTCGCTGATAAAAGAAACAAGTTCGTTAATTGCCATAGAAGTCGACTTCTTTGCTATAAAGCCAAACTGTGATGTATATAATATATTGTTATTGACCAGAAAATCAGTTAGTTGTTTGTTCAAAACCTGCTCAAAGATTTTTGATAGTACAGGGATTATCGCAATTGGTCGATAATTATTATAATCATCTACATTACCTTTTTTGTGAACTGGGACAATTTTGGATTTTTTTAGACAATTTGGGAATATACCATATCTTATGCTGTAATTTATCATTTTTGTGAGAGGGCTTATGATTGAGTTTATAACAGATTTTATCATTATAATGTTGAGTTCGTACAAATCTTTACTAGTTTTATTTTTCATTTTGCCTATCAGTTCTCTGAGATAAATGGGAGTAATTTCACTAAAATTAAATTTTACATTAACATGATTTAATGGTTTGTCCTTTAGATTCACGTGATTTTTTGGTATCTTTGATTTGAGTAGATTAATGTTATCAATGAAGAATTTATTAAAACCTTCTGCATTGAGATTTTCCGAATATACATTGGAATGATCATGATTTCTATTAGCATTAATCACTTTCCAAGCAGCTTTGTGTACGTTTACAGAGTTTGTCAAGATCTGATCGCAGTTGTGCATTTTAATTTCATTTATTTTATTGTTAAGAAGTTTTTTATAGTCATTTAAAGCAGTTTTGAAGAATGCAGTGTTTGGGAAACGAGACTTTAAATTGTGAAATAACTCAACTATGTTTTTTAAGCGTATTATTTGAGGATTCTTATTTAGCACCACGGTAGTAGAATACTTGCTGCTATTGAAGGTTCTTAATGGGAATGATTTTATTGCCGCGTTTGAAAGAATAGTCACAAACTCATCCCATTTATGTTCTAGGTCTGCTGCCTCTGTAATGTTTATGATATGGTCCCAATTTATTTCTGATATTTGGCTATGGAACAGATTTAAACCCCTTTGTGTAACGGGCCTGTATGTAGTTGTTTTTCCGTTCTGCTGGTACACGCTAATACAGTTCAGCTGAAGGCTGACTGCATCATGATCAGAAAGTCTAGTGTGACTTATATTTATTTTATATGGTACTTTACTGTTAGTAACAATATTATCCAGGCAGTTCGTTTTTCTGGTATTTTCTGTGATTAAGGTTCTCATGTGAAAGCTATTTATAAGATCCAAAAAGGATTTGACTTTATGGTCAGGATTATTAAAAAGTATATTAAAGTCCCCAATTAAAAAGGAGCACGTATCGTCTAGTTTTAGTAAGAGTAGGTTTAGTAAGTACAGAAATTCTTCGAAATCGCCATCTGGAGGTCTATAAATGGTGATGATATTTACCCTGTACTCCGTTAGAAAGATGCCGGCAACCTCAGCAACCGTTTGCTTAGATATGGATGCTAAATTTAATTCCGAATACCTTACATTTGGTCTTATTAATATTGCAGCACCACCATACCCTTTTTTGCTACAAAAGCTGCTGGCCACCTTATAGTCAAGTAGTGTTAAGATCTCCACCTCGGCTGCCGTTAACCAGTGTTCACTGAAACAAACAATATGAGGTGGGTTGTCTGATAAATGTAGTTCTAAGTCATTAACTTTACGCCGCAGTGACTGTATATTTAGATAAAAAAGGTTTAGCCAGTTGACTCCTAGTGCGGTTTTCCTACTTGTATGGCTGTTGTCTGTTTCGCTCATCAGCCTTTTACCTGGGTTGTCCTCATAGGCGTTATGGGCAGCTAAGTGGATTTTTTCTGTCGGCTTCTTCGGTGAAAATATCGCGTAACATAGCTGCCATTGGGCCATATTTGTGGATTCATTGCATCTTGGAAACGGTGTAGGTCAATTGTTACTTTGAAAGCAGAGTAGAACATAGGATATTTGGTTTCCACTTGTTCACATTGGACTTCCGGGAATTCACCTTTCAGTAGTTCGCAAACTTCAGTCGGTTTTGTATTTGGCGCCAGGCGTGATACAAAAATAAATCCTTTTTTGGGGGCAGCCTTAATAGAAGATTTTGTAACATCTTCTTTATTCCCTATTACTACAGACACTACTTTCTTTTTGGTTATCTTTTTACGTGATACGGTTTCCCACTTAACGCTTGTTGTGTCATCTGGTGCTGATGATTTAATTGTGGGTAATGTATTCTCCGTTTTCATGGCTTTCTTCTTTTCGTCTTCAGTTGATTTACTCACCGGATGGGCAGTTTTATTTCCTGTGTGGGACGCCACTGGATTGGGTTTCGTTGCAGTGAGTTTATCACCATTTTTTATTGTGATCTTATCTTTGGGTCGACAGCTGACGGTGGAATGAGTTGGTCTTGGCAGTTCACTCACATGCATTGTTGCTTCAAATTCTTGGATTTTTGTCACGACGTAGTTCAGAGTATGTGCTAGCTCATCCTTTAGCTTGCTTAGATTGTTTTCGATAATTTTCTTATCAGAGAGACGGGTTTTTGCTACTATCTCGAGGAGTTGTTCACGCAGTCTTCGATTTTCGTTCTCTAAAGAGGTTACTTTACACTTGTTTTTATATATGTTTTTTAATTTTGTCAATATGGCGACCCAACATCCATCTTTGAGGTAAATAACAGTGTAGGTGGATCTTTAACACGTAAGTATAATTTAATTCATGTGTTAATGCAACTTTTAATCTGCATTATATATTTAAAAAAATGTTCACAGTCTCCTTTATAAAGCAAACCCAACAGTTGTTCAATACACCGACACTGTGCCATCCTGTGGTTACCAAACTCCCCCCCGTGCTTCAGCCCGGCCGTTTGAGAACCGCAGGCGATCAAGATTGAAGTGTCAATTCCACGCAGCGTTTCATACAAATGTTCAAAATAAAAGCAAAATCATATCATCGAACGCTAACTTCGATCTGCAAACGATGAGCACTCAATTAATGTTAGCGCAACTTCGAATAATAAATCCGTAGAAAATTGCGCGAAAAACAATGGAAACGAGTCTTGTTACGTAGAAGAATTACGGGCACGGTATATTGTTCCAAGTTTAATATTTCTCGTAAAAAGCACAAAAAGGAGCGCGATACGCGCTTTCTAAAAGCGTCTTTGCGGCATCGACGGATTTATTGTCGAATGTCGATGTATCGGATGAACTTTATCGACGTGTATATCAAATTCTATTAATTGTAGAGAGAGTCGGGTTGGCCTTTATCTGATCCGTTTTATTCTGTATCAATGCCGGAGCTATTAGGCTTGTATTGTGCCTGTACTTTAGATGTTATTTAAGCCGTAAAGAAGTGCCGCCGCCGCCGCGGAGAAAGGATATCGCATTCGGACCGTTACCAAATTTTATTGAGAAGTGAGAAATGGGGTTATTGGTATTATTATGAGTACAAAAGTGCAGGTCGAGTCGCACTATCACAATGTCTTCATTTTTTTCGAAAATTAATTTGATATGTCGTCAAAATGTTGTCACTTCACTTTCAAGAGGTCCAAATGACGTCATTGTAAAGTCACGTCAAAACAATGGATCACGTAACTAAATCTCGAAGTTTCGTGTTTCGTGGTACCGTGATTAAGATCTAATATTACGAGTTACAAAAAAATGTCACTGAGACATAAATAAGTGTAAATAAAAAAACAAGTTGTTTCAAATTTGGGTCATTCTCTAGAATTGTCGGACAATGTTGCTGAAAGGTTTCTATTTTGTTGAACATTTGCCTATACAAATTGTATGCTAATATAACTTCATTATAAGTTTTGCATAATTTGCAACACTTATAAAGCTTTTAACGTTGTCAAAGTCGTCAAAACATCACACGGTGGGGAATCAATTTTATGACACTAGTGGAAGTTGTTTTGTCAATTCATTAATTAGCTAAACAATTATTATAGTTATTTAACAACAAAATCGTGGTTTACGCTGTGATTTTCCTTTGTGTTGTGTACATTTATTTATTTACCAAAATTTTACTAAATACAGAAAAGGTTCACTCATAAAAGTGATTCGTCAAATTTCATTTCTTTTGTAAACAAATCTTTTTAACTTTCTTGTAGTTAACGCGACGTAGATCTATAGAACAAATCAGTTTACGCATCCTTTCCAAACAACTAATAACGTCATCTCAAAGATTCTAATTTTCCGGTAATTCAGGTTCACAAAAATGTTTCAACTGAAAATTATTGAAGAGGTTTTTGGTCAGTTATTATCTATTTTTCTTGTGGGGTATTCAATACATGTTCAAATTGTAATAGTTTCGTTATTAATAGACTTCTATTTATGAAACTAACGTCTTCTATCTAACGCAGACATTTTTTTTAAATTCAATTTAAAATTTTGGTGAAATTTTTCACCACATGTTTTTAAAAATCAGTGAAAATCTCAATTATTTATGGAAATTTCAGAACTCGATTTAACCACTGTTCTCAGTTTACACTTTAGAAATTGCAAAAGAAAAACGATGTCGACATTTTGTGTTGGAAATGAGATACAATAAAAAAAGCTTGTGTAGAAAAAAAACTTTCAAAGGAACTTGAAAAATGTAGCCACTAGTCTTAGGAATTTTGCGAAAGTATTTCCGGGTAATAAATACTGAAGCTACCATTAAAGAAATCTGCGTGGTACGAAATGGTGGGAAAATACAGAAAATTTAAAAAACACATGGAATGCAAAACTAGTTTGTATTAAAATTAGGGTTTTTGCAGAAGGAAATGATCATAATAAAACATATATTAATATTGAATGATTTAAAAGCATAATGACCTGTTCCCACGCTGGAAGTGGCAAAAAGTAGAGCTAAGTCCCTCACAAGAATTCATGGTATGAAATGGTGGTGCTTTATTAAAAGCAAGTAGGTATATAGTTTTTTGAGTTTTCATAGTTTTGAAAAGCGTAAGCTAAGGAAACATTGTAATAAGGTCCATTCAGCAAATGGGTACTTTCATGTTTTCTAGGCGTTTTATGACCCTTAAAGTGTGAAAAAATAAGTCTCCCGTTTCCATCTGCCTGTCTCTTTGTAAAGAATAAGGAATATCTACATGTTTTAACTTATAGAGGTTATCATAAAATAAATGAAATTGTATCATTTTTTGAAGAAGTTGGATTTGTTGGACTGTGTTTCAGGGCCGAGGAAAGTTCGGTCTAAATTACCTTAGATCAATTTTTTTGTAAAAGCAGGAAATAAATTGACCTCAATACATCTCTAAAATTTAAGATTAAATTACAAAATTATTTGACTTCAGCTTTTTTTCCTGTATTCTGGTTGATTCTTCCTCTTGCTACCTTGTAAAACACAGTTATGAAACCTTATTATCCAACAGAAACATTTCATGACTTCTGGAACTTGAAAAAGTAGGTCCAGCGTTTCTATTTTTCTGGCATCGTGTCGATTTTTTTAAACAGATAAACTCCGAAACCACCAGACCTATTGTTGTCAAATTTCATGTATGGTAGGAATATTGTGTACAACCGTAACATCATATCAAAATTTTGCTTAATATATGCTATATAAATTTTTTCTTTGATTTTATTTGTTATTATAATTTTTATTATTCAATATTTCTCGTATAAACCTGGTCGTTAAATACACACTAAAGGTCCGGGGTTCGATTTCCGATATATCCTTTTTTTTTCGTACATTGCAACTGGTTTACGCATACTTCAGTAGTCCAATACATATCTCTGTTTTAAATTATAAGGATTATTTTAATTTTATAATTTTTCGAAGAAGCTGAATTTGTTGCACTGTAATTCAAAGGGTGTAAATAATATTGCAACAATTTTTTTTTGTACTGACAAAATTCCATATTTTTTTTTAATTACAAAATGTTAAGAGATATTTATTTTGCAATCAAAAAATTAGGCAAATTATTATCAAACAAGCAGAAATATGTAAAAAAAAATTGTCGAAGGTTATTTGGACAGGACTTCCCGCCCCCTTGAAGTATAGCCCAACTGCCCAACAAATCCCGTTACTCTGAAAAATTGAAAAAATTTGATTTTCCGAATATTTATTTATAACCTCTATACATTAAAACAAATATAGTAGATAAGTGATGCCAGTAACAGTGTAAAAAGCTAAATGCCAACATACATAAATGTGTTTGGACATATTATAATTCTTTTTTTGTTTGTCTAAGATCTCCAACTTTTTTTAATGATAATAATCTATATACTTTTTTCAGATTTTTGTAGAGCTTGTTTTTCTGAATTTATTAATGTATTATACTTTAATTACCCACATCCTGCCACCTCACATTCGACCGCATGTTACGAAAACACACTTGTTTATCTTTCGTCTGGAGTGACCATGACAAGAAACGGAAAATGAGTGCGTTGATAAAGGGCAAGACTATACTTGTATGTATTGGTGAGTTTACCATGTAAAAATGTTTCGGTCAACATTATTTCAGCAAGGACAAGTATATCAATTCCGACACATTCAGTGCAATACTAAAAATAACACTGAGGTGTACCGTTTTAGAGATTTGAACAATAAAACAAATACAAAAGTATGCTATTTTATAAAATTTATTACTTATACAAATTTTTGAGATGTCATGACACTGATAGGGAGATTGGGCAAATATATATAAAATACAATCGGTTCGGTAGTTTCGGAGATTATCTGTCACAACTGTCGTCGATATCACTTTTGTAATTACTCATGAATCGTTTGTAATTTTTTTATTTTTCCAAAAAATGCATTTTCTATTTTTAAAATAGGATGAAATAATTCAATTTTTATCCAATAATTAGCAGCCCTGCCAACAGTACCTCATTGAAATGACCAAATACAATTTAATCAACGAATCCCAGAAAGCGTCACTTCTGTCACAACTTTAAACACATCTCAAAAATATTAGTCATACTACGATAATAACGAGCTATAAAAAAAACATTCTAGTTGCTTGTTCATTGTTTTTTATCATTACAACGTATGTCTGCAATTAGATCGACACGATATGTCAAAAAAAGTGAGGCTAAAAAGATGTAACGTAATACACTTCAGCAGAAACAACGGAAATCCAAACGAAGGATGTGATAGATGACAATGGATTTGCGCATTTTTGGTTCTCTAGGAATTAAGTTCTACAAGAAAAGGACAATGCAAATGTATTAAAAAATTATAAAAATAATAAAAAAATTGCATATTGATAGTTCC